GATAACAATAAATTAACAATCAACACCGTGTTCAAACTGATCGTGTGCTAATTCCTTTTCCTAACCCAGCTACCTGCAATCACAAATCTCTGTGCAAGGATGCACAATAGAGTCTAGATCTTCCCTCGAAGTCGGAGTACATCTGCCGGAGAGGCGGGGAACGAGAACTGCAAACAAATAAGCCAGTAAAATGGATGTACACGCAAAACTCAGGTCAAGGTAAAAGCCAAAAGTCCATTTTGGACGAACAACCGCGACTTACCGCCGGAATTCACAGCCGGTGAACAAGAAGAAGAAGAAGAAGAAGAGTCTAGATCTAACACAATCTAACTACTGAACGTAATACTGCAACACAAAACAAGTGAGCCCATTCACCTCTCCCATCAGTCCGCCGTACCTACGTTGCGCTGATAACCCTGTACAGTTCAGCAACGATATGTAGCACCACATGTCCCTAGAGCGATTCGAGAGACCAAACAGCAAAGGGAACTTTTTCTGTGGGCTGAGCAATATATAAACTTTTCGACTCACTGGCCACTTTATCCAAGTTTCGTCCTTTTTAAGACGAACTTTTTTGTTATTTGAAGCCCCACTCTGGCTTTTGCCAGTGGCCGCAATATAGGCAGGCCATAAATATGGTAAATTCTCTGAACGCTGTTTCTGGGACGTCTCCATGGCGATCCTCATCCACATGGTGGCACTTTGTGTCAACGGGTGTTTGTCGTTTGTGTGATGTCCTGGTGGGGTAGAAAGTCAGTCAGTCTGGCCACTTTCCACAGATTTCGATCTGCAAAACTGCTAGTTCTATTTCGCAACTGTAACCAAACCCAAATTATTATAATAGGCTAAACGAATCTCAGACCAGCCTGTTATAGAAAGACCAGAATAGTGAAGCATTAAACAGCGACCAATCATATAGTGACGAATTTTGACATAAACAGGCACTAATCGTCATCCTAACTAAAATAGCAGTATTGGGTTTAGAAAGTGTCGCCATCAAATAACCACATTTTTATCATATTTTCACCATATTTTTTCAGCCGCTCTGATAGCAACCAAAGGCAGCTCACCGGATCGAAAACACCCCTAAACGCTAGACCAGCAAGGCATGTTGTTCTACCACCAGACATACTCCAACCCATACGCGACCCAGGCAAATTTTTATAGTCCTTTTCAGGACTTTTAGATAACCCCTCCTGATGCAGCAAATGTTGTATCCCAAAGAAATCGAAACCAGACGTAAACCCACCTCACAAGAAAAGAAAAATTCTAAACTGCAAGAAACAAGGGACGCAAATAAAGCCAAGCCCTAGTGACAGATTGAAGCAGTCCGAGGTTTTTTTTTTTTTTTTTCCATTTTTTTTTTTTTTTTTTCAAAATTCAAATTCAGTTCAACCACATTTTCATCATCGAATAAAACGATATAAGCAGGAGATATGTGCATCCAGCTGGAAAGTGTAAAACAATCAATGCCCAAGTTAAGGGAGATAAAAATGGCTTAGACTTTTGTATCTGTTGTCGCCCTTTGAATGTTACTTTATGTGAAAGAGAACTTCCCACAGTAATCCTTCTTTGCTCGGTTATTCTCATGAATTTATCTGCACATGCCTAACGTTTTGTCTGTGTCTGCCCTTTCTTGAAAGCGACAACCAACAACGAATAGACACTGATCTGTATTTGGTACTTCAATTTTTATTTACCCCAAACAAAGGGTATCGGGGAGGGCTCCAGAAGGTTTATATTCTTTGGATGTTATAAGTCGTTTAACCCCCAACCTCTCCACCCTCCTCCCCCAAATCTTTTAATGTTTTATGTGCACACAAGAAACGCGCTAAATGCTATGCTTTTTTGTTGAGAAATGCTGGACAAACCTGACTTCAGATCAAAAACAAACTGTGAGCAAGGAGAAAAAAGAACATATGATCTAATTTCAAGAACGGTTCTCCAATTATTCTGTTATGTGGTGAGGTATGTGAGGTCGTTACACACAGGCTTTTGCGACAATCAATACGACGAACGTGAAGACAATTCAACTAAACATGGCCAATCGTGATTTGATGGTTGAAAATGTGGAATTCAAAGCTTCTGTTTTGTCAGATCGATTCCCTGGAGAATCTAGGATACAGATAAATCAGCCTAACGAGGCTGCCGGGAATTGATTTGTGGCTTATACATGTTTGAGGCTCTTTTGTCCAAGTACATCCTGACAATGACGACTGCACTGGGGGGGAAGGGGGGGGGGAGGGCGTGGGATGGGGGGGGGGGAGGGGAGCGTTTGCTTCAACCTCCTTAAAAATATAATTAATTAGTTCCGAATATTTTAATCTGCATTTTTATGTTTTGCATAATCTGCTGGTTGGGCTGTGATAGACAGGGGTGACCATGACTCTCAAGCTATTTATTCTTTCAGCTGCTTTGTTGCTGGAGGACGTTGTCAACGTCATACTTCCAATCCTATGTCGTCTTCCCCTCCCTCTTCTACCAGTCTCGCGCGAAGCTGTGGTAGTTCAGTGGCTATATGCTCGCTTGCAAGTGCTCAAGTCTTGGGTTCAAATCAGCATTAGTGTGGACTTTTATTATTAAAACACACTGGGTTGGGGATTGACTCAACCTAAGATGGGCACTAGGAAATGTCACGGGAAGTCAAGGCGTCCGGCGTGGTGTTTACCACATTACCGATCGAGTGTCAATTTGTCTAGACAAATGATGGATCGAATACAAATATCCGATTGGTCAAAAACGTAAAAAGGATTCTTTGTTCTTACTTGGCTTTACTCAGTCTACAGCAGATATTGGCGACAACACGTTCATCCACGTTCTTATGTAGATCTCTGACCAAGAATAGAAGCGGGTCATCCTAAATCTCAACCCTTTCTGTAACCCGATATTTTCACGGAATTTATTACCATAATGCCTATTCTTTTTTCACTGGCCACTTTCCCCGGGATATTTATTTTCCCTTTATCAGGTGTCCCGGTCAGTCTAATGGTTAGATATCGACCTGGCTGCTTCGATATACGAGGATAAGTGATATTGTGTGTTCATGTAGTATTGTCTCATTTGTTACGTGCTGATGAAGGTTCCATAGCCGCAGCGTTCACGTTTTGTTCGTCTTTGTTATATTATGATGCTCGCTGATAGACTTGATGTTCTGGTTTATATCTTTCCATGCTCTTCTTCTATAGCACCCGAACCCTGTAGGTTAAATATTATACGAGTAGTGATATATCGCATCACGAACGCCTCTATTCACGAACAAATCAGCCTTCAACACGATTTCCGAAAACACTTGGGATGACCAACGATTAATGCCTCAGCTCACAAACGCTCAATAATATCATTGTCGCTAATAAATATCATCAGTTGTACTCAGGTTTGCTAGCTGTGATCATTGTTTGTCGTTACGTTGCTCTTGATGTAATAGTTTTGCACTAAATAAACCCACATAATGGCTCTCAAGAAAGTGAAAGTTTTAGTTACAGTGGTGCAAAGAAGCCTAAGCGTACTGCAGTTAAAACAAAGAAAGCAATAATATATAAACACGAGAATGGTTTGTGATCTCGCGAATCAGTACAACACCACTTAATCTGCGATCCGTACTAATTAAAAGAACAAAGTTGCGCCAAAGAAGGCTGATGTGGCTAAAGGAGTGACTATGCCAACGAAGCAAAGTGCCCAAGTGTTAAAAAAGCAGACAAATTACTGTTACCGACCATGCCATCAATTGAGCAACTTCCTGGGATACAAGATTAGTTGCGTATCCTTTACAGGACGTTGCAGAACCAGCCCCAACAGCCCCTGGCGTGGTGTGGTTATTCTAGGCAAATTTAAATTACCAGTAGTTTGCCATTGCTTTCAGGACGGTCTGCTTTTTTGATACCACTGTCGAAACCAACACAAGGCGCATGACCCGCAGCTGAGATCGAACCCGGCATCCCAGCATTACGAAGCGTTCGCATCGACTTTGCCACAGAGCCGACCTTGGAATACAAATAAAAATAAAGACCACTGTTTCAAGATTATCCGTAGTGTTTCTTAAGTAAAGTATTGATCTTTCGTGTATCTTCAGCTAAACCTGCTCTTGTAAAATGTGTCTTCATTTCAGTAGACTTACCTACCTAAGTACCCACTACCTTCCTTCCTACCTACCAAACAGCCTCTTGTCTTCTACCCGGCGAATTACCTCACAACTTTACCTTCGTAGCTAGCCAAATATCTACCAGTTTACCTGTCTACCTACAAAGAAGTGTTTTACTTGATTTTGAGTTCAGTATTTTCTAGTACATATGCCTATCTACTTTCTTACCTTCATACCTACACAATTCCCCCTAAATTCCCGCCCCCCCCCCCCCACCCCCAGCCCAAAGAGTCCCGGTGTCTATAAAAAGACAGAGGCACCCGGAAAAAGACTTATTTGTCTTTGCGGATTCTGACCCATCATTCGTCCAGAGGCAGGAGAACCCACTAAGCAGCATGTGTTCGTGTGGTTTCGTGAGGATGGACGGTTTGTCTGGCTGATTACGGCGGGTGTATGGTTCCATGGTTAAATGTGAATTTGTCGCTCGGGTAGATGCACTCAAAAATCAAAGGAAATCCATAGTTAGTCGACTCCTATGACATGCGTATTGGGGAGGAAGTGAGTTTTGCTCACAGTGGGGCCCTGGAACCCACACGGGGAAGTTTAGTGCAGTCTGTTTCTAGTGAGTTCATTATGTCGGGAGAACAGTATGTTGGCAGAACAGTAAGTTGTGAGAACAGCATGTTGTGAGAACTGTGCGTTGTGAGTTTAGTATGTCTCAGCTGAGCATGCCTAAGTGTCAGTAGTCAATAAGTTTGTTTTTCTCAAAAGGCGACAACTAGTGTTTCACTTGTATGTGTGTGTGTGTGGTGTGTGGTTTAGTATGTGTGTGGTGTGTGTGTGTGTGGGTGGTGTGTGTGCGTGCGTGTGTGTGTATGTGTAAGAACCCATAGATATTAAATGAAAGCAGCGTTGTCCTCACCTCCTCCAGCAAAAGCTGGACATTGTCCTTGTTACACAGGACCACGCATTTCTCCACTAGGACCTTTCTCATTTCCACAAGGGCATCACGAACATCCTTCAGGGTGGCCTTCTTAGGCAGACGCCACGCCCGCACTGCGATTGTGTGGTTGGTCATCATCCTTTCCAACACCTGAACACCTGCAGGAGAGGTGAACTTGCAGGTAATCATATTAGCTAATACTTTTTAATGGATTTGATAAAGGTATAGGCAATCATTCCAATTATATCCACCTACAAAAACTGTAACACTATGTAATCAAAACTGCTACTGGTGCCATAGACACTAAAACTCTTCACTGGCTGCTAAAGATGGGGACGGAGCACTTATGAGAATGTCTTAACGCAGCTGTAACATCATGCAACAGGTCTGTAACAGACAAGAAGCCACAACCGTGTCATCACTTCCCATGAGTTGTGTCCGCCTTGATGATGAAATGCAGAACTGGCATGCATTCATTTCTCCGAAAAGTACATCGTTATATCATTCTCGGACGTTCCTATCACATTACAATGACGACAACGACGGCCATGAGAATAATGATGATGATGATGATGATGATGATGATGCCGCTCTCGTTAACCTTTATTTAAAGGTTTCTCTTGAACATTCTGGTTTCCCTAATTCACTAGTTCCTGTGTATGAGTCGGTATACGTCATGTATGTATGTATATGTATTTATATATGTGTGTGTGTGTGTATTTGTGTGTGTGTGTGTGTGTGTGTAATTGTACACATATGTCTATATGTGTTTGTGGTTGTGTCAAGTGTACGCCTGTTCTCCCCCCCGCCACCCCCCAACAACTCTCACTATGAACTAGAGTACAAGTCCAAGCCTCTAGTTTTTGTACAATTAACATTTCTTAGTCAACATAATTGGCACAAACGAACCAGACCACAATTATAACCGATATTGCTTGCAGTAGGTTGAATGTGGTCGATTATTGTGTTTTGTTTTTGATAAACGGACAAAGGATAGATGTGCCATTCCGGTACTCGGCTCGTTTCTTTAAAAACATTTCCCAGTCTACCACTATCTGTTGCCTTATCACTGTTGATGCCACTAGTGTTCCAGACATTCCTCTTATTTCTTCAAAATTCTTGAATGCATCCCATTTAATGTTCATCTATTAATCTCAAGCGTTTGTTTTCAATAGCATATGTTAATGTGGCAGGTTGCCAAAACCTTTATAAATTCGGTTTGGTCAGGATACAAGTTAAAAAAAAAAAAAATTGGCAGCCCAAAGAGTCCCGGTGTCTATAAAAAGACAGAGGCACCCGGAAAAAGACTTATTTGGCTTTGCGGATTCTGACCCATCATTCGTCCAGAGGCAGGAGAACCCACTCAGCAGCATGTGTTCGTGTGGTTTCGTGAGGATGGACGGTTTGTCTGGCTGATTACGGCGGGTGTATGGTTCCATGGTTAAATGTGAATTTGTCTCTAGTAGTTGAATTATATGGAGCTAGATATTGTGTATCATCGCTCATAACTGTTTGATTATATGTAGCTAGAAGAGAATATTCATGTTTAAACTGAAGTGCTTAGAGCTTGGTCTGTGCACGACCGGCTCTAGCTGACGTGCCGTGCTACTGACGTCACCGAGTCGAGCTAACGATGTCTTAAAGCAGCGTCAACTGTAGCTGGTCGTGGTCTGTGCGAACACGATTTGGTTGTTAATGTATTGTTATTTGTGAATCATCGTTAGTTATGCGTTCATTAAAATAAACAGACGTTGAATGTGATGATTATATTTCATTTGCTTAATTTAATTTAGGATTTGTAGTCCGTGCATGGGGTTCGTCTAGGTGTGTGTAGTCATATTCTATTGTAGCTGTGCAATTCACATATTTATCGCCTGGGCTAGGAGGAATTATTTCGTGGCCCCTGAACAGAAGAACTCTGGTCTTTTCATTACTTTTCCTGTTTTTGCTTTTCAGCGGGAAACTACTACATTCTGTCCTAGCTATATTTCTTTCTCTACATCTACCTACTTCTTACTTTTCTTTTCCCTTTTCCCGCTAGCACATTAAAAGTAAAGATACGTTTATACTTCATATTGAATAACTTTGTTTTAAAACTACGTAACTGAGTTACGCATATTTTGCATATTCTGTTCATGCCTTTAAAATAAGAATAACAATGCTGATGAATTTGGTGATAACATTTTTGGTAACGATAACGAAAATGGTACGATACTCGTAGATTCTTCTTTTTCAGCAATCAACGTTTGCTACATCACTACACCGGAAAAGGTCACACACACGCACACCATGCAATCGCATACACACAAACACACACACAGAGAGAGAGAGAGAGAGAGAGAGCAAGAGAGAGAGAGAGAGAGAGAGAGAGAGAGAGAGAGAGAGAGAGAGAGAGAGAGAGAGAGAGAGAGAGACGGTGATGCACTTGAAGTCTTAACTGTTGCCCAAATATTTGTCTCAAAAAGTCACTACTCTTGGCTAGATTTCTCCTCCCTGAAATGCCACATAATATTTATTTACATTCACATTCTCACTCATCTCAATCTCCACTAGACAGATTTCAGGTCCAGTACGCAAGAAAGACAAGATACCAAGCCAGATAACGTATCCAATGTTAAAAAAAAAAAAAAAAAGCGCCACTGGAACTACAACGGCCATGCTACACTCAGAATGGTTAAGATCTCACTCCCCAATCAAGCCCTCATATGGATATTAGAAGGGAAAATAAGACTGGATAGGATCAAGGGAGACCCTACTTCAAACCATCATCAGGGAAGGCTCAACCATGGGCCTAATGAATATTAAAGACATGAAACAGGTGACAACGAACAGCCAGACACGGAGAGGTATGACCTCTGCCCTAGGCTCAAGAGGAAAGACTAACTAATTAAATAACATTTTCACGGCATCAATTTATGTGTAAAGTTATTTGGGCTACATTTGGTGATTTGATTCTCACTTACCAAATAAACGGTGCGGCAAGAACAGACAGGACAGAGCACAATGAGGACCTGGTAGCTTACTGGTCCGCTAATGTGCAACTCGGTCACCGGTCGGAAGTGTTGGGGTCATTGCATCAACGCTTCAAGAGTCCTTTTCAGGGTTGTGTGGTGGCTAGCAGTTTGTAGCCATGAATATGGTGCAAATAAACTGTTTCAAGGTAACCGCTAGTTCCCTTTCGGAGGATTCTTGCTGAACAGTCGCCAACTAATTTAGAACTTAGAAGGCAGAGCATCCATAGCTAGATAGATGTTCTGAAATATTCAGATAGTAGTGAGCAAAGGGTCTGGACGGGTTTTTACCTCTGCAAAGGAAGAAACAGGCGAACTTTCAATAAGGTTGCTGCTGGCACTATAAGAACGGGAACTCTTAGTTGGCTACTGAATAAGGAGACAGAGCATGTTTAGGAAGGTCCCAAATGCAAAGAAGTCCATTCATTCATTCATTCATTCATTCATTTATTCATTCATTCATTCATTCATTCATTCATTCATTCATTCATTCATTCATTCATTCATTCATTCATTTATTCACTTGAAATTCGTGCACAACGTAAAAATAACGGGGGGGGGGGGGAAGGGGGAAAACACGAAAGAAGAGAATTACAATGAGCGAAGTTTCAACTGACCGCTGACGTCATCGTAGAAAACGCTAACTTTGGTCCAGGCATAGGCTCGTGCTACATCCAGAAGGGCGTTGGAAGCGTGAGTCCCTTCCGGGGTAACCTGAGAGTGGTCAATCAAAATAAAAAACAATACATCTACGGTCGGATGGTCTCTCTTCCGTATAATAGTGTCTTCACTGTCTATCATGATAGGGTGAGCCGCTGTGGTCAAGCGGCTAGACGCTCGCCTGCGGATCGGAAGACAGTGGGTTCGTTTCCTAACGAGAGCCGGATTTTTCAAAAATGACTTTGGCTGCCATGTCGACCTAGCCTTAAGTGGGTACCATATTCAGTCCTGGAAAGTAAAGGCGGCCGGCTGGATGCTGACTACATCTCCGACCAAGTGCCGTTCGGTCCACAAACTATAGGTCTAGCCCTATATACCCAATAGGCCTGAAAGGCGTGGAAAAGGGTCCTTAATTTTGTTTCTTATGGTTGGAAAGGATGGGGGTGAGGGGGGGGGGGAAGGGTGAGGAGCGCTTAATCTGACAGTTTTGTTTACACAGGCACATAGATAACATCGTCCGACTGTACATTTTGTTTAAAGCTGTTTTACTGGGGGGGGGGGGGGGGGAGGGTGAGGGGGGCGTGTATAGTTTGTTTCCCTCCAGAATTATAGTTTGATGAATGAAGTAAGTCCAGTACAGTAAAAGACTATTTCCTATGCCTTCATGCGTACGGGACATATACTGAACATATGTTGAATTAGCAATCAACATCACAGCACTCGGGACACTCCCATAAGTGCTCCGTCCGCATCTTCAGCAGCAAACGAAGAGTTGCAATTCCCATGGCATCAGTAACTGTCTGATAATATATCTGTCTCGTCCTTTCACTGAGTGTTGAGGGCCCTCACAATATCTAGCTTGTCGTAATCAATTCACCACCAAGTGGTGCAGAACCGGCCATTCTATATGCTTGCTCATTTCCCAACACACCAGCATAACCTGGAGATAATATCCAAAGGACGCTAACTGCACAGGACCTCTGACGTGATGCTTTTCACTCTGTACGGAGCGTGCCTGTCTCCACCATTCTCAACATGCTCTGTGAATATATTACATTGAACAATTACATTCTTTAAAGTGTTTAGGCAATTAAAGAGTCTTAATCCAGCCCTAGGTACCAGGTAAAGTCCTTGGAAGTAAAGGGGGTCGGTGTGATGCTGACCAGAACCCCCCCACCCCCCCGATTTCTGATTTGTCTATATAATATAAGTATAACCCTGTAAATCCAATACGCCTGAAGGCGGGGGGAAAGGCTCCTTAACTTTGACTTACTACGGCTGTGAGGTCGACCCAGTATCAGGAAAAAACAAAAACAATTGTCGAGCAAATTTAATAATTTTCTCACAATAGTCGGAGACTGTGAGACCGCGAGGACAAAAGCTGGACACAGCATCTCATAATTTCTTGGGGTAATTTTGATGAAGAAGAGAACTGATTGATCATATCAGAAGGTGGCAATCTGTATTCCTTTGTCATGTAATGAAAAGGAGACAACTTAAGTACATCGTGACAGTAGGGAAGTTGGAGGGAGCGGCATAGGGAGACCGAGAGAGAAGATACTAATCAGTTTGATATTATGGCATGAAAGATCAAGTGTGTCGGAGCTGTATACAAGATGGAAGGTTGTGGACATACATAACTAACAATCCACAAGGCATTGACTTTTAGAAGAGGAATTTCGACTATTCTCTGATGTGGTTTCCAGGAGTTCTATGTGAACAACATTTGCCTACCTGAACCAGGAACTGAAATCGCTGCGACGTCTCCGCAGGTGTGGTACAGAGGTAAGGTATGCGCAGAGATTCGGTGGCTAGGCTGACCTCAGGGTCAAAAGGACCAATCACAACGTTGAGGTTAAGAGAGGAGATTATCTTGTGAGCTGAAATATGAAAGGATAAAGTTTAATACGTGCCTTGTCAACAATACATTTTAAAAAAAAAAGTTGAAACTAGCAAATACGTGTTGACTCTTCGCCATAGACGCAAAAAGGAAAGAAGTAGGCGCGCTTAAAAGGAACATAGAGTTTAAGAAGGTAGATTCTTCTTCTAGAGAGTCGCAAAGACTTGATGGTATAAAAAAAACATAGTGTCTATATAGACACTAGAGAAAGACAGAAAGAGAGAGAGAGAGAGAGAGAGAGAGAAAGAGAGAAAAAAGAAAGAGAGAGAGAAAAATGGAGAAAAAAATAGAGAAAAAGAAAGAGATCGAAATAGAAAAAAAGAAAGGGAAAAAAGGAGAAATAAGGGAGGAAAAAACGAATGAAAGAGAGAGAGAAAGAGAGTGAGAGAGAGAAAGAGAGAGAGAGAGAGAGAGAGAGAGAGAGAGAGAGAGAGAGAGAGAGAGAGAGAGAGAGAGAGAGAGAGAGAGAGAGAGAGAGAGAGAGAGAGAGAGAGAGAGAGAGAGAAAGGGGGGAATTTTAAGCTAGCCACAAAGATACAGAAAATAAAACTTGTGAAATTGCGAAGCACAGTTACGACAGTTTTGTAAAAGATCACACATTCAGTCACACAAGATACTAGGCTAGAGAATGACAATTCAGAAAGTGGACAAAGAAGTAGGGACTTACTTTTGTCGATTTTATCAAAGGCGGATCTCACTGCTCCAGTATTGATCTCGTGTAGAGAAACGTTCACATCAGACTGGCTGCCCGCTAAGGCGGAGGCAATCACCGAAGTCCAGGGAGGGATGATACCTGTCAAAATAATTGCGACACATTTAACACTATGGCGTATCAGGTATATAAAATTAGACCGACCAGCCAGTACCGGAATTGGGATGTCAACATCATTTAGTCGTCTATTTATTCTGTTCCACAGATATTTTCTGATAACCCTTCGATTTGGTCCCCCCCCCCCCCCCCCCCCCCTTTTTTTTGGTTCTGAATCAGAAGCACTTGAGCATAGCTTATTTGGCTCAATGTCGCATCAAAGCCCTTCAGCCACAGTGCCACGTAAAACGTTAATCTGGGGAGTATGCGGCTTTTCTGCAATCCCCTGGCTCGAACCCGAAACCGAACAAGCATGAGGACTGTCACCTGAGGTCCAACGCGCTGTCAACTACGCTAGAGCGCCGGGCGTTACCTTTCGATATGTTCAAAAGCATTTTCGTTCGGAAAACACAACTCCCCTCTGCTGAGGGTGGAACCTAGTCCCATGTTTTGTTGCACAAACCACTATGCTACTTTCAATTACATTGATGAGAGCCAAGTAACCGATGACATAGCTCACTCAGCTTTGAAAACATGTTTTCTAGCAGATTCTCAAGAGGAAATTTCTCTGAAGAATAAAACATGAGTACTATTAACTAGTCGTCCCCATGTGGGATGTAATTTTTCGTTTTTTGAAGCCCCATCCTGGTGTTTGCGAGGGGCTCTTAATATAGCCGGGCCATAAATATGGCCTAGAGGCTGACCTCTCCACGGGTGACTCTCATCCGCATGGTAACACTTTGTGTCACAGGGTGTTCATCGCTTGTTTGATGTCCTGGTGGGGTACAAAAGAAGAGAGTCAGACAGACAGACAGACAGACAGACAGACAGACAGACAGACAGACAGACAGACAGACAGACAGACAGACAGACAGACAGACAGACAGACAGACAGACAGACAGACAGACAGACAGACAGACAGACTGACTGACTGACTGACTGACTGACTGACTGACTGACTGACTGACTGACTGACTGACTGACTGACTGACTGACTGACTGACTGACTGACTGACTGACTGACAGACAGAAAACGTGAGTGTACGGCTTCCATAGAGTGTACACTCTTCTTGTAGCCATTGCTAAAGCCAAGTTTCATTAGAAGGCTGTGACCATATGTGACTTTTTAGATAAGCCAGATTTCAGTAAAAAGGTTGTAAACAAATGTAACAAACTTGAATAGTCAGGTTTCCGTAGAATGTGGGACAACATGTAAAAAGTTAGAGAAGCCAGGTTTCACTAAAAATGCTGTAGGCAAATGTAACAGACGCAATTTTTATTAAAATATATGACCAGCTGTGACAAATTACAGAAGTCAAGTTCCATTAATATGTGTGACTAAATGTAAAAAAAAGGTGGAGAAGTCAGATTTCACAAACATTATGTGACCAAACGTAACACGGGGGAGAACTCATTATGCGATGAGTTTGGTTGAATTGTCAGTCACACATCAAGGGCTGTGTAAGACTGGTGCAGTTAAACTACACACAAATTAGTCAGTTACGCACCCTTTACAGGACGTTGCAGAACCAACTCAAGCATTTTTATGCTGTTGTGGTTTTCCTAGTCAAGTTTACGTCCAATAGTTTGCCATTGCCTCCTGGACGGTCGGCTTCTCGATACCACTGTAGAAACCAACGCAAGGCGCAAGGCAGGCAGTTGGGATCAAACCCGGCACCCTGGCATTACAAAGCGCGTTAGTAACGACTAAGCAACAGACGCCGAAAGACACAAAAAGTAAAAATACTGTGTTGCAGGTGATTGTATCCCTTGCGTCTGATGATTGTATCCATTGCGTCTGATGTTCGCATAGGTAGAGTCTGATGACTGTTTATATGAATTTCTACAACAAACAATGCTCTACTAACTTACCAACTCTGACTGTGTTCAGGCACTGTGCGGTCGCCACAAACACCAGGGCTCCAATCCAAGTATCCATCAGTCGCTGCCACATTCTGGTCAAATAATGTCCAATGCTGCTGTTGTCCTGCAGAGAATCTGTATTTAGCTCCTCAGCTCATCGTTAAATCAGTTTGTTGACCACAGCTGTAACCAAAGCATTTCTTGCTGCCATAAACTAGGGAACTTTCCGAAAGCGGAACAGTTTGACCCCTTGCCGGACTCATTCTAGTACATCCTCAAGAATTTCCCATTTCTTTGTGTCGGTGTTTTCTTTAGAACAATGAGATCTACATTTAGAAGGATATCAGCTATTGAAAAATATTACTTGTTTTTGTATAGTATATACAACTTTCCTTATCGACAACGCTCAGTCTCCTTACTAAAGATTAAAAATGAACAGCATATATATATATATATATATATATATATATATATATATATATATATATATATATATATATATATATATTCCTCAAGACTATGTACTTAACATTCCTCCAAAAGAAAACTCAAATCCAGTTAAACTCCCATGAGTGGAAAAGATGGACAAAGACAATTTAATTTCCTGACAGACAAATTGTATGTTGTTTCACTTAAACGGAGATCATATTTCCCTGCAGAAAATATACAATATCTTTCACGGAAATAGAATACCACAGCCTCAAATCCATCAATAATCATTGCATAAATGAATAAGACATCATTGCATAAATCTATCGAACGTCGTTACATGAATTTTTCAAACGGCATTATGTAAATCTCTCAAACGTCATTACATAGATATACCAAACATCGTTACATAAATATATCAAATGCTATTACTAAATTTATTAAACTTCATTACATAAATGCGTCAAATACCCTTACAGACAACTGCAAAATAAGCACATAAAATCCCCGGAGGGTCTGATTTCAATCACGATACAGCATGTACTTTGAGAACTAATTGTTAATGACGCAGCATGTGAAACCCAGCATTTGTGTCTTGTTGCTGTCCTCGCCTGACCACATATTTGCACCAGAGGGTAGAAGTAAATAATATGTTGAAATCGATAACGTGAGAATAGTTGTTGTTTGTAGTTGGTAAAGTGTGTTGTTAACACGCTTGTTTTCCTTGGCAACGCAATGGTATCGTTTAGCTTTATGTGTTTCAGACATCAACGTTTCTACGACTCCAAACAGACCTAGTGCTGAAGCTATACATTCAGACAAGTCATGTGGATACAGTATTTCTTCTTCAAGGTTTCCTTGGAACTTAGAATTATAAGTGTAGAAGCTTTACATTTCTATTAAGTATAATATCTAGAAGGATGGCATCGATGATGATTGTGTTTTCTTTGTTGTTCTTTTGAGGATGTGAGTGTGGTATTCTTCACTGAGACAACCACCTACATCTTATCGTTTTGGGACTCCTGGTGATTACTTACACACATCAACATACATGTAAACAGTCGGTATTTTCTAGATTTTAGAAGATAAACGATGAAGACGCAGCGGAAGATCGCAATGATGACGATGATGACAAATAAGAATCAAGAGGAGAACGACGAGGAGGCAGACGAGGAAGAGAAGGAGGAGGAAGAGGAGAAGAAAAAAAAAAGGACATAAAACGACAACATCACCACCAACAACAACAACCAGAATCCACTGACTATTACTAGGCAATAATTTGATTGTTTGTGAAACAAGTGAAGGCCATCCTAGCACTGTTGCTGTGGTCTCGGTTCGAGTCTTAAGTACTATGTTGCATACTGAACTACAAAGACAATTCCTTTTTAAACGCGTTTTGACGACTGTTTATTGATTGCAGGGGTATATACTGAAACCGCCACGGGAAGCCAAGGCGTCCGACAGCAGTGTTTTCTTTTCTATGTACGTCATCTGAAGTATACATCTGATATTTTTACCGAGTTATTGTTCAATTTTGTAAAATCGCACTGTTCTACTATTAAAGCTTTCCACGCATTCATTTTTTCTTTCCTCACACTAGTTCTCTCTACCTGAAGCCTTTTTATCTGTCTTACCTACGTTAGTGAGCCTAACAAATCTGGATTTATTCTCATTGTTTACTTTCCATTGATCATGTAACATCTACATTTTAGAAACTGCGTATATTTTGAAAAGATTTATAACAATTACTACGGTTTGCTATAGCTAGACATGTGCACATTCCAGTGCTTGTATTGCCTATTTTGATGCTATTGATACTGGTCACTATAACTTGATGAATGAGTGAAATTAAGTATGAAAGGAGGGGGTCTACAACGGCAGAATATGAGACGGGCCTGCGTACCCAATTCTGAACCCTTTGAAAAAAAAAAGTTTGTACTTTCGTTAGTACAACTGTTTTGTCAACATTCGTCTCAAGTTTACATATTCATTGTCTCAAGTTTTCCCGGTTTAATTCATAAATCAGTTTCTCTCGATTATGAAGTAAATGTACAATAAACTTCACCGAAGCATGTCCTGCAGTGTGATTACAAACACATATTCACATAAACATCACAAAATAAATACTAACCTGAAGCTTCCAGTGGTAGCCCGATGAGGTATCTAATTCACTCACACATGTAATATCAGACCACCAATCGAAGCACAACGCCACAACATTATATTCCAAGTCATTGAGGTGACTAAGTCAATCAGTGCACAATAACAAAGCCAGCAGGATTGGGTAATGTACAATACTCACGGGTCATATTGGTAATTTAATATAAGAAGAATTTACTGTAACAAAAACAAAAACAAAAAAACATGTTATTTGATAATTACACGGAAGTTACGTAGATAATACACAGCACGCGCATACAATTGCTCGAGTTTCTCGCCAACGCTTGCCATCTCCCGAGGTGATTGGCGAGGGGCGGACACGTTTGAGGGATGGATCTAACAGATTCTCGGCGTGAGTACTGTATCGACGTATGACTTCGCATTGCAAGCTTCGGTTATTTGGCTTTTGGGTGCCATTATCTATCGGCGTTGTAGGTATATTCACGCACTGGCATCACTGTTCAGTGTGATAGATGGAAATAACAGTTTCTGTATGCATGAATTCTTTGTTAGTTCCATTTTTTTTTTTTTTTTTTTAGTTTAGACACACTTTTCTGTCTCAATATAAAAAAGCAATTTTAATACATTTACTAGATTGTGGCGGTACTGTTTGTTATACCCATCAGTTGGCAACACATCGGCCGATCAACAAACATAAAGGCCGCAGTTACTCACAGGATTCTCTCTTCTGTTTTCTTTTTTTTTTTTTCGCCTTCTGCAATGTCCAGTTGTTTTATTTGTGGCGGTAGTTGTCAATGTGTGTAGATTACATAACATAACCCTTTGCCCGTTAATGTCGCGAAGGTGTACTGATAGATGCACTTGCACACAAAACCAGCCATTTTTCTCTGTCTTCCGCTTGTTGAACAAATATATAAAAGTTTAGTCATGTCCATATCTTGATGTTGGCATTAGAGGTTTTTCTTTGTCCCCTTCTTCTTCGCCAACCCACCCCTAACCTTTTTTTTTCCCTCAATGTTCGTTGAAATATAGTCTTTGCATACAAATTTTATCTCACCACGTGCCCGAAGGAAACTATGATGCGACGCTTCACCGCTTCCAAAAGAGACTCTTGATGTCCTGCAAATTTGTTTTTGTTTCTTAAATTTTTTAAAAATATTTTGTTCTAAATAACTGATTCATAAAATTCGTCCCACTCTTTTATCCATATAATCAGTTAGACAATACCCGTGATTTGTATATACCGACCATCATTGCTATGCTAATTTTGCTCTCCCACATCGTATTCAGCGGGGACACAGCTGTTGATGCCATATCAAATCCTGTCATGACTTCTTTGGTATGTAGATAACCAGCAATGGACATCCACACCCCAAAATGTAATAGTTTCTGGAAAACCCATAGAAAGCTTTGATATCTGGCGTCATACTGACTACATCCCTTTTCTAGCGATGGGTGGTGTTTGAAAATGTAGTTAAAGAGACGTGTGTCTGATGGATCAATGGCGTGAGAACATTGCTTTCCATTTTTTTTTTTTAACATCAGAACTGAGGCCTGTGGTAGCGCTGCGGCTATAATCCCTTACACAAATCACGCCCAGATTTTAAAATCTGTAACTCATTAACCGTTTTGTGTAACTTGTTGGCATGCAACATGTTAATTATCGTCTCCTTGTGAGGTTTTTTTTTTTTTTTTTTTTAATGCAAACAAGCTAGTTTTTTGTTGTTGCTTAGTATACTTAAAAACAGACACCGATTCATAGGAAACAATCAGCATGCTCACAGTTAACAGAGAACTTGAAACTTTTAAAAAACATCAAACTGCACGCGTTTCATGGCTGTTTCACTCTCAGGTGGACATCTCCAGCATTATCCTCCCATGATTTGTGGATTTTTGTATGCGGGATCGGCTATCAAAATAATCACCAGGAATCGCTCACAACCGGCTCCAGGTGACGGGCCGTACTGCTGACGTCACCGGGTCAGGCTGACGATGCGTTAAAGCAGCGGTTCTCAAACTGTGTGCTGAGGCACAGTGGGATGCTGTAAGCATATGCCACGGATGCCGCGGCAATAATCAAGAAAAGTCGGCTAAAAATTGTTACATCATTAAAGAAGGCAAGTGGATACTTAAAAAGTAAAATTTAAGTGGTCTTTCCTCGCCACTGTCGAAAATAGTTTATTTCTTGTTTGAGAACCGCTGTGTTAACGCATCGTTAGCCCGACCCGGTGACGTTAGCATCACGGCCTATCAGTTGGAGTCGGTCATGGATCGCAGCACATTCGAAATAATTTCCAATCACTACGCTTGTGTCAAATATTGTATATTATATGTTTTCTAGGCCTGCACAAATTATTAGTGAGCAATCGAAGAAATTTGCTGCTTTAAGAAAGCACCAGCATCTTCTAAATTACAAAATCATGAGGCTATAGAAAATCTAAGGCCACGTGCAACAATTCGTATTGATCCGTGCAGGGTTTTTCGAGACATTTGTTAAAGTTTGAGGGCACGATTTTTGAAACGCTTTATAGCAGGTTTGCT